AGCATTTATGGTTTGTGGCTAGAACTTTTGTTTTGTGATTTATACTTTAAAAAGTACTAATTAAGAACTTTCTTGAGTTTCCTTTAGAATACTTGTACAGATTACAGACAGTATACTGTCACCCATTCTTGCTCGGTATACAGTGCTACACTGTTTCCTTTGTAAAGTTACTTACTACTAGCTAGTGAGAAATGCAATACTACAAGGATCCGCTTTCTTATTTATTTATTAGTTTTACATACTGCCATGATCCATGAAGACTCTTAGCAGTTAACATCATAAAAAATAACATGTGTAACAGCTCAGTTTGGATTGGAAGATGCAGTCATGGATACACTTGGGAAGTAAGCCTATAAGCTAGTAGATTAAAGACAGCACTTTGAATTGCACATTGAAAGCCAAATGCAGGCCTGTAGCACATATGACTAAGGCAACTGTAGCCCACCAATAAACAGGCCACTTCATTCTACACCAACTGCAATTTTCAAGTAGTCTTCGAAGATTGCCCCATGTACAGTGCATTGCAATAATGTAGTCATGCGCTGGCAAGAATGTGAGATACCATTGCTAAGTCCCCTTTCTCCAGGTAAGGCTTTAAATGCTTTCACCAGCTAAAGCTGGTCAGAAATCCCATAGCCATGGCCTTCACTTATCCATTCCTCAGTAGCTGTGAATACTAGAGGATTCCAAAGGTGCAGATCTGTAGATCATTTGAGGAGTCCAAGAAACTTGGAAAACTACTGCCGAATTAAACAAAATTGTAAACTCTACAAAGGATACTTAAAATTTCTTAAAACTCAAAACAATTAATTTTGCAATACAGGCTATTCTGACTCTGCATGTTGTATTTTTTCTATATTATCCCAATTTATTTTCATTAAGGGATTTTTTTATGTTTAATAGATAATGGTTTAGCCTTGCTAAAAACCTTCTCCAATACACACAACACTTACAGAATTTCAGAAGCTGTAAGGTATTGCAGCCAAACAATGAAACAAACAAACGGTTTAGCTATATACGTATATTGCTATTTGGCTTTGTTAGGAAAACTATATTCCTTTTGTAATACTCATAGACTTTAACATATAATTACTTATTACCTGTCTGAGAGTATTAACCCCATTCGCAGCTCAAATTGTCCCAAAGAAAGTTTTTACAGCTATTTTTAAATAGGTATTATTCCAGAGTGTCAATTTTTGATGCAAATTGGAGTCAATTTTTAATTTTCTTTCTTTAGGTCCAAAAGTGTTTGAAAATGCGTTCAGCACTGAAAAATTGACCAAATTACTGCTATAGTTAAAACTAAGGACTTGCCAGCCCTTTAATTTCCACTCATAGTTTGTGATATAATTTCTGACTTTAACCAATGTAAGAAAAAAACTTTGTAAATGATAATTGTACTTCACGATACATCCAGTCTTTGGATTCTAAAGGGACAATTCTCTAGAATAAACCTTATTTAAATGAATTCTTTATTTGATAGTTGGCCATTATCAGAGCACAGTACCTGTGAAAGTTCTCTTAAAGGAGCTCCACTGAAATGCATTCAGTATGTGTGGGTATAATAAGTTCTTGCTGTTGACAGGTAAGGAGTATTTCAGTGGAAATCATCTGGTATCAGCAAATACAGGAATGACTGATTAGAATTGAAGGTTGCTAAAAAGAAAAAAAAGCAGTGTCTGGTATGCCATCAACTAGTTCATTCTAAATACTACTTGGCTGTTCAGTGACTGCTCAGTTGCCATGATATTTCTTGAGCCATCTTTGCCTACCGTGCTACCACATCATACCTTGTCTCTCTCAGTCAATGGGCAGTGATGGTGTTTTCATATTATTCTCTATCCATTGTGCCTGCAACAATATACACTTCATAGAGTACAATGGAATGGGTTTTGTTCTAAGATATTTACAATCTAAAATTCAGTGTGGGGAAAACAACAGAGGAAAAAAAAGGGAAGTAGAGGAAGACGTGAAGAAACAAATACATAGTTTCTCTATTGAAAGAATCCTGTGTAGTGAGAATTTATTTAATAAAACATATACTAAATACATTTTAGCTGAATTATAAATCAATAAGTTTGTAGGTGTTACACAAATAATATTAATCTTTTATTCTATCAAATAGTGCTGGAAAAAAGCGAATTCAAAGATGAACCACTTCTTTTCCGTTTTTTTGCGGATGAAGAAATGGAAGGCTCCAACATGAAGCATAGACTTATGAAGCATGACTTAAAAGTAGTGGAAAATGTAATAGCAAAATCATTGCTGGTGAGTTTTTAAAAATGGAGTGTGTATATTTATTTATTTATTTGATTTTGATGCCAGTGACTCTCATGCTTTGCCCATAGACAACTCTATAATTTATAACTTTTTCAGATCCACCCTTTTGTCCATCAGCTTAAAATCCCATTAGAGCCCTCTTGCTGTTCTAACCCTTGCCATTTGTTTGTACTCTTCAGTTTTGAGTGGAAAATACATATTAGCTGGAGAATAACATACAGGCCCTTTACAGAGAGCAAAGCATATACTTAGGCTGAGTTGGCTAAATGCTGATACAATGCCCAAATAGACGCATATGATTAATGTCACAGTTTTTGCAGATGAAAATATTTGCTATATTTGTTCACAGTGGTAGCAATCATAAAGTGGTAATAGTTCTCTGTCAGCAGTATTTATTCAGAATATTAATTTAAACATTTCCCTTTTTCAGATCAGATCAACTGAAGGGACCTATGGTTTTGGCTTGGAAGACAAAAACAAAGCACCAATTGTTAAAACAGTAGAAAAGGGCTCAAATGCTGAGGTAATACAACCTTATTCATAACTGTCCCAATTATTAAATTTCTACTCATAGAAAAGGTTCACAGGTGTTTGTGGAATTACTTCAATTAGTGAGTTTTACTTTAATGATTTTTAACTGATATGTGTGTGCTTAAAATATTAAAGAATATCTAAAAGCATTTAAAAATGTAAATGTTTGTATTACTTTTCAGGTAGAAATTAAAAACTTACAATATGGATGATTTCACACATTGCAATTAAGCCATACTGTGGTTTGTTTGATTTTGACTTAGCATGTTGTGAAAATCCAGTTATGGACTACATTGGATGTTGCCCTGATACCTGGAAGGGCTGGCATTTTCAGTTTTTGGCATTGGAGTTTTGATGTTTTCTTTTAAATTATGTTAAACCTATTTGGAGCTTCCATTTACACTTTTCACACCTTTTCTACCTCAAAATGTTGATTTTCAGCAGCAATGGTTAGAAGGGCTTTTTAGGGGCTGCAGAAAAATAGTGTTTGGGAGTGCATGAGGCCCAGGGGTTACAATTGCCTAACCCTGACACATGACTAAGAATTATACTTAGCACAATGTTTTTCTCATTGAGATAGGACACAGGATATCACTAGTGTACAAAGAATTGCAATCAGCTAGGCACACCTTCTTGGTATTTAAGCTTACAGATAGTCAACATCTGTAATTTCCTAAAATGTGAAATTGTAACATTAAAATTTGATATCCTAATGTTATTGAAAGAAACATTACCTTCAAATTTAGGGGAAGAAGAATTGATTGGGTGTAGATATGTCTACATATGACAGGTAATTTTTTTAGGTTACCTAGATGCAGAACTTTGAGAATCATTTTAGTAGAACAAGAAATATATTTGTACAATGCTGTCCTATATATAACTACTTAAAAGTAGGTTCATGGATAAGCATGTAAGACTTTCCATGTACAAGAAATTAATTATGGTTGGAGCAAGGTTACAATCTGGCAAAGAATACTTATTAAAATCTGCATTCAGAATTATCTGTTCTACCAGTAGTAGTATCTCCTCCACTGCCCCCACCATATCTGGATGGTCTTCAGTAGGGCTATTAAAATGAATAAATCTCACGTGATTGTTACAATATTAAATTAACGATATTAAAAAAAATCCTTCTGGATTACTAATTTGTTCTAGTACACATTTTGAAGGCCTATTAATCAAAGTCACCACATCCCTAGCAGGTATTGAATTGCTACCAAAACAGAGATGATCTACCCATCTTCTTGATAAAAAATTTATGTGGAAGAATATGAGTTTCTTGTTAGGAAAAAGAACTTCAGGTTTTCAGTTACCTGTCTAATAAAGAACTATCTCTTCTTACAACATCTGATGCCTCTTATATTTCAAGAACTAAAGATAACATGAACATAACTAAAAATAACTAAAATTTCTATAGATCAAAGAAAAAAGAAAAATATTTAACCGAAACAAACTTCTTACAAAACTAGAAAGTTTGAAAAACATAGATAATTTAAAAGTAAAAAAACTTTGAAGATATTCAGTGAAAAACTTTTTTTTTTTAATCTGCACTCAGTCATTACCAACTGCAGTGACTGCTTTTGGATGAGTCCTTTGCAGTTTTCAAGGCAAGGTGTTTCGGAAGT